GGTGATGAACCTCAACAACAGCAATCTCTGTGCACACACACATACACCAGTCATACACACTGGATTAAGGGTCATTGTTAAGCTGGGTCTGGTCAGGCTGTAAGAGTGTCTGTGCATGTTTGTGTGTCCCTTAAACCCTTTAGCCGAGTTCTAAAGTAGCTTAGCAGGTTATGTTCCTTGGTCCAGCCTCCATTGGAGTAGTTGTTGTCACCACCGTGTTGTTGACATGAGCGATGGGTCGCTTGTCTCACAACCACCGCCGGGACTTTTGGACGTTGTATCACACACTGAAGACAGGACTTAACGGTCGATTATTGGCTGTATAGCAGCAGACGAGAACTGTGTGGTTGCCTCCATTGTTCAGAGCTCAAATCTCAGTGCTCCATAATCCTGCCTACATGACTGGCAGTGGTTTTACCTGCTGACTGCTGAAAGATGCAGCCTTTCCTGGTACCCTGAGGGCAGCAGGACGGCTGGGCGTCGGCTGGCAGGGAGGGGGCTGAGGGCTGCCCTCACTGGGCGCCCAGGGACCCCTCCGATCAAGCGGGGAATTTCGGTGAGTTGAACAGAAAGGGTGCAAACATGTGAGCTGATTGTGTAACTTATGACGGAGCCTTGGCTCACTTGCTAATTAGGTGTCCAGACACGTAATTGGAGATAAGTAAGCAGACGCGATCCCTCCAGTCAGTTGTTGATCTGTTCTGCACTATTCATTGAGCTTTTTTTCCATATTATGCTCTTGCACATCTTAATTTTCAAATTTTACAACTGTCAGTAAAAGTGGAAAATGGCATATTTACTTATTTGATAGATGATACCTTTTGTAATCAGATGTCAAAGGTCACTGCAGAGAGAGTTTGAAAATCAGAGCTCATGTAGCACAGAAAGTTGCCATGAATTTATCTGGTTTAGGGTACATGGTGTGTTTCTTTTTTTTTTCACTATTGACAGAACTATAGGGATATGTTATGCAGAAATAATGTAAAAACAATTCCTTACATTCTTGTACTTGTGACAGTAATGAATCACCCCACCATTCATACTAAGATATTCTATAAATAAGTCTGACCTCGGCAATTCACCTGCTTGGGAGTAAGGATGACTTTGCTGCACTTTGTCTAGTCATGAAAACAAAATTCTGCGTCTGCTGCAATGCAGAGGTCGCCAGTGTGTGACCTTTTAAGTGACCTTTCATCTGAAACTATAAATTAAGTGGGCAAGAGTCTGTCCTCCATTGATAACCTGTTGTTGTTCCTGAACTGATGCAGCAGACAAAGAGGTCAGCTGCGAGACGATTTCTGAAAGCCAAAATTATAAAGCAGCCAATCCATGTATTGGGCAAGCATACAAGGGAGACAGTGGTAGTAAATCTGGATTAAAGCACTGAAGCGATGGAATGGAAAGTGCAGCAGAAAGGGTGGAGTGTGTTTTCAGTGTCTGGATTTGCTGGGTGGAGGTTTTGGAACAGGCTCCAGTGCTCTTTTTTTAAATATATCAGCGAGTGTGTTTGTCTCACTGGTGAAAAGAGTGCAGACAATGATTTGATCTGATTTAAGTTAAACTAGTTGTGATATTACAGTTGAGGGGCAGATGTGTTTATTGTCATTTCCATTTTTTATTGTAAGTAATGTGTCCATATCTGTTATAAAAATGAAGATAGCACACTATCTTGGGGGCTTACTGACACACAGTGATAAACAGGCCTTCCAAGCATCATTCCTCAGACTACTGTTGTAGGGAGGTTGACAGAAATGAGAGGATACAGTGAACAGCAGGTGATTGGATTTAAGTGTCCCTGCACAAGTTAACTCCCAGTACGCATGAAAAAGTTGTACAGATCCCAAGGTTTCTTGAGATACCTTCAATCAAAGGGTTTGACTCAGGGTTCTTAGCTTTATATGTGTTGCTCTATAATGTATTGGTATGTATTTTATGTCTTTTTATGTCTTTTACGTATTTTTAACTTGTGTTTTATTGTGAGCCACGTCAAAGACGAATTTCCACTGTTCTGCAATGGACAATAAAGTTCTTTCTGATTCTGATTCTGATTCTGATCCTAGCATTGTATGTTTAGAATAATACACAAGACATATAGAATAGATAATCTCATGCAATATTGCAGCCATAAAAACATTTTGGATTTGAATACTTCACACTACATTAGAAGTGTGCTATAGCTTTTAAGTAATGAAGAGTGAAGTGCAGTGGAGTGCTTGGTGATGACAAGGTGCCTGAACAAGAAATACCATCAAACTTCAATTAAAAGCCGAGTCCCAATGACACGCCAAGTCCTTTTGCAAGCCGAGTGTGGCTACACATTTTGACAAATAAAGTGTGTTTCAATTTGATACCAAGTCTGGTTGCAAAGCAGTTTATTTCTTTTTAGGCTATAGATGTTCTTTGGATGTATAAAACCTCTTAAAGCCCACTGGTTTGTTGGCTACCCGCTTGAGCTAACATTAGTTAGTTGCTTAGATCGTGCATACAAATAAAAATGTTACTTTTATCATTATAGAGATGCAACATATTGGGGGAGCATAGCTCATAAAATCAAGACAAGCATTCATTTTGTGATAAAAGCACCAAATTTGGTACATATATAAAAACCGTTTCTGAGACAACTTTTGAACCAAATGAGCTACAAATGCAAGCTTGGTATCTATTTTGTGTTTTTTGACCATGAGAAACACGTTGGAATGCTTATTTTTAGGATTGGATGCAGCAGGACCCCTAATTTGCATATTTCCATGGTGGCCACCTAAAATAAGATAAAACTCTTATGGCAAACTTAGTTTCAGTTTTATATTTTTAAGCAAAAGAAACACATTGGAACACTTAGATTTATGATTTTTTCTTAAATCATATTGTATTTTATTTATACTCTCTAATACCAAAAATTTAATATATACATTTTCACCCAGATTGAGTTGTAAGGATGAGCTGTTTCCATGTTTTGATTTCATGTTCAGAGAGATGTTGTATGCCCACTTTATCCACAGTCAAGTTCATGTGACGTATGAATCCTGGACAATACTCCTCTGACCACAAGCATGTATTCACACACTGAGAAAAGCATAAACATAGCCAGCCGGTCAGGACGTGCCTACCCGAATACGTGTGGACCCCACAGCATATAGGGAGGGGGATTCCCGTGTCCAACATGCTACACTCTCTTCAGTGAGTGGTGTGCAGTAGGAGCAACACGGCCCCTAGGTAGAGGGCTCCACCTGTGCTCATGGAACTAGGGTTATACAGTAATATTGTAATTGGGTACAGTGGGTTGAGCCTGATGAATGAACACCCTGTCACAACATAACATCAACCCAGCCTCACTGAGCCTGACAGGCTAAAGGTTAGTTGCCGTAGCTCACCTACTTCTTTAAAACCTAGGCCGCTGCAATGGAGAAGTTACCAAACCAAGTTGCGATACAGTAATCATCAGATACGGTATCGCAACTTGGTTTGATAAGCACTCCAGAATTTGATTGGACGAGCAGGAAAAATTATCGGCATGCCACCACCATCCTCTATCCAGGAGATATTTGAGGAGACGGTGAGGAGGCAAGGCCGCAAAATTGCTGGTGACCCAAACCACATCCTTCACAGCGAATATGAGTTGTTGCCCTCAGGCAAAAGGTACAGGGTACCAAACTGTAAGTTGAATAGATACAAACTGTCCTTCTACCTCGATCAAACTGTTAAATAATGCAATATAGTGTGTGTGTGAGGGCGTGCGCGCGCTCACGTGTGTGTGTGTGTGTGTGTGTGTGCGTGTGTCTGTGCAATAAAACTGATAGTATAGGGAAGTGCAATATTAGTAGTGCGATAGTGCAGACAATAAAGTTACTAAACTAAGTAGGGGGCCCCAGCCAACCCAGGTTATGAGCAACCGAACTCTTTGGAGCTGCTGGGGGTTAGGCCACCAGAGGATCCGCGATACAATACTATCATGATACTTAAGTCATGATTCATTATTATTGAAATATTGCCATATGCTGAGTATTGGGATAAAATATATTGCAATATATTGGGATTTAATACGTTTTTTTAAACCGTAAATTATGTCTCCAAAGGAAAACGTTTTCAACCTCTGTTTTATCTAATAAGATGAAGTTTTCAGTTTCTCCCTCTCAATTCAGATATTTTCTTTGTGGCAGGAAAGTGCATCTAGTGGACTGAAAAGCAATTGATTATATTATACCAGCAGGCTACCAAAAGTTTATATTGTAATATAATAATTAATATTAATAATATTCATATTAATATGATATGTTATGATTGTATTTCCCATCTTTGCTGAGTCAGCTCACAGGTTCCTTTTTGTTGATTGGCAGCACTCAACAAAATAACTAAAAAACATGCTCCTACTACAACTTAATGCTTAACTGTAAAATACAGTGAAAATTATAATGCGTATTTCACTTATCATGTAAAGATTTTGTTTCATGATTTTAGTTTTGCATTTCATGTGACACCATCAGAATCATCATAAGGAGATATTTAATGGCAAAGGTGTAAATTTTCACAAATGTGGATTCTGTGGTTGTTATTTGTGCTTTAACTCCTCGGTACCAGGATGTGTCAGAGGCCAGTTGCTTGTCACAAGACTCAGATCTGTAGTCATGGGAACACAGACTTCAAAGTGTGGCACTGGTACAGCTTTCTGCCACTGATACCAACCTAAAGGAACCATGGGAAAATTCCTGCTAACCCCATCTCATAGGTCCTCAACAAATCTCCAGTGAACTTTCTGGGGTCAGTTACTATTGGTCCTGATGCGCAGCGGGGTACCTAACATTCCTGAGCACCTCTCATTAGCACAAACCTGCCTCTGTATGTCTTCTCTGCATGCTGTCTGCCTTTTTTGAAGTTTTAATTTCATTTCTGTCTTTATCACATCTCATTTTTGAGCTGATTTTTTTTTTTTTTTTTTGTCCCTGTTTTCATGTTTGATATCCTCCTTTCTTCTTTCTCTACCTCTCATCGGTGTTGGTGTGTAGATCTTTCAGGTGCAGAAGGTAGGCTTCCTCTTGCTCATTTCCTCCTCGGACATCATTTGATATAAGCATGGTTATGCAATTATCTTAGGCGTGTGCCAAGAAAATAATGGAAGTCTATGATCTGTGTTCTGTTTTCTGAACTGTTTATTTCTTGCCTTCATTTCCTGTCTCTTCTTAGAAATATTATGGCTTGGACACCAAATTAGATGACCGAGCGGACAGCAAATGGGGAGATATTGAACAATGGATGGTACAGTTTCTGTGCTGTGATAACAACACTAAAAAAAACACCTCCCATTTACTAAATACTTTGCATGTGTCTCTTTGCCTCTGTACATATTTCAAAGCTTTTATTTCTGTCTGTTGGAAGCTTTTGCAGTGTGCCGAGTCTCTCTTTTGAATTCCGGATAATTCCTGTTAAGCCTTTTTAGAAAATAACAGATTATAAAGAATCAAAGCTTGGCCATTAATGATAATCCACTTATTCAAAGGAGCAGGGTGCCCGTTTGGCTTTGAATCAGCCTGACCATCTGGCCCCATTGGTGTTAGACTGCATGGGATTTACTGAGTTGAATTTACCATTTCAGTCACTTAGTTTGAATTGTCCCAGACCATCAGAGGTTCAGACACTGCAGTGAGGATGCTTACAGTGTATGTGTGTGTGTGACTTGTAATTTGACTAACTGAAGTGTGTGTGTGTGTGTGTGTGTGTTTTGTTGTAATCACCTTACTGTATGCTGCAATTTGAGGTGAGAGTGTTACTGCAGCATGGGTGTCTCAGGGGTTTGTTGGCTGGATTAGAGGCTCAGAGTGATGATTTTAACAACATGCATGTTGGATTGTGATCAAGTGTGCACTTCACTAGCAAGTAAGAAGTTATTTAAATTTGTTTAATGCAGACATTGAACAAACATATTCAAATGAACCAAACAGCAGGCGTTGCATCCTATTGTTTGCTTACATTACATACAGTAGTGTATATTGTAGGGATCCAGACTGTTCCTACTGTTTAGCTAATATTAATCTTTCTTACCACTTAACACTTCATGTGGTGTCCAATTTTGTGTACATGCCTTCATCACCACCAGATATCATACCATTTGAATGGATGACTATCTTGGCATCATGATGATGATCCTAAAACTAAATTAAAGGAACAGTTTGTAGGATTTAGTGGCATCTAGTGATGAGGATTGCTGATCGCAACCAGCTGAAACTTCTCCTGTGTTCTGTGCTTGAACTCCCAGTTAGCAGTCCCTCAGTGTTCATTGTTCAGGAGGGAGCCGAAATATCTGTAGAGGACTCTTCATCTCCAAAATAAAAAGACCAAGAGATTAAAATGTTAAGGCACTGAACAAAGCAGTTTCACATTACAAGTCAGTGCTTTTCTGATTATGATTGGATGGTTGCAGAAAGCCACTCGCTCAGCGCCTGCTAATGTGTGCTCACCTTTTTCTCTGAAAACTTAAGATCCAGGGCAGGAGTTTTTTAATGGGAGTTGAATTATGTTTTTATATTATCAGTAAAAACACTGAATGAGGCAGTTTAACATTAAATAATTATGTATAGGAACATGAAGGTCTTCATAGACGACCTGCTCCCTATGCAGATAAAAGTGATTCATTATAAGGTAAAGAAAACCCAAAGATTCTTATTTTCATGTGATTATACAGTAAAAAAAAATCATTCATATTATATTAAATTCCATTTCTACCAGTTTTTTTCCACTAAATCCTACAGACTAGACCTTTAAAACAAAGATTGCTAATGACTCAAACATTTTTTTGGGCTGTAATGAAAACATGCAACTTCTTCTTGGAGTGGTCACCACCCAATCAGTGGGAAGACTGACCTCTAAAGTCTTCTTGTATCTCAAGCGACAGTTACCTCCTTCATCCATCTGTCTTGTTGAACTTTGACATCTCTCTCCACTTTTTCACCCTTCACCTCCTCTCTTCTCCATCTGCGTCCTTCCCCTCCCTCATCCAGGAGGACAGTGAGAGATACTCACGTTCTTCACGGATACACACGGTTTGTAGCCCTCCCTCTGTTTCCATCTCATGCCTTTCTTCTGTAATCTTGTCCTCCACCCCTTGCAAAATGTTATACATTATACATACAAATGTAAATCCTGGACAACTACAGGGTGAAATCCAGTATCTTTATGTTTGTTTATATGTTGTTTTTATGTTTGTGTGTTTAAATATTTGCGTATGTTTATACACAGACCATGACTACTCAAGTAGTGATCTATGGAAGTGATTGGAGTTAGATCCTAAATGAAAAAAGTAAACTATGCTGAATGCAAGAAAAAGAGATCGCTGTGCTGGATTGATCATGTAGGTACATTGTATAGTACAGGCAATTCAACCCTTACCCCAAAATACTTTTACCTGGCCTATTTAGAGTGAAATAGGGATGATTTATTTATTTTTATTTTTATTTTTTTGAGGCCATCCTGGAAGTTAGCGTCATGCTGGTTTACTTGTCAAAAAGCCTGTGTGATTTTTGCATTATTGCAGAAAATATTTCTTTATACAGCAGCTTTTTATTTGAGAATGAGCTGTATGACGGACCTGAAGTAAATCATAGAAATTTTCAGATATAATGCTTCATGTTTTCTTTGCTTTTTTGGCTTTGGTTTTAAACAAAGGAGTTATTATAAATTACATTTAATTTCTCATCTTAATAAAACAAAGCCCTCATAAAACAAACACATTAGATGAATACTGTTAATTGGACCATGTGTCTTTGCAGCAGGACACGTCCTGCCATCATCCACGGTTCAGTGTCAAAGTTTACGTAAATCACAGGGTGACCATTTTCCAAACCCTAACCATCCATTTCAATCTCTCACTCTCTCACACAGCTCTCAGACGACGATGAGCGGATGTCAGTGGGAAGCCGGGGCAGTGTCAGGGTCAGTATCACACAAACAGCACATGCATTAAAAATCTATCTTTACACGTCTTTTTTTCCTTTCAATGATTTTCAAATACCTTTTTGCTTTTTGCCTCACCAAGTCGGACCTTGTTCTCTTGACCCTTTGGTTATATGGGGTTAGTGTATCTGTCCTCGGTAGCTTAACAAGGTGTGGTTGCACCTGGTGGTGACATTGATGTTGTGTCTTTTGCACAGTCGGATCTTGATGCAGTTGGGGCTTATGGTGGAGGGGTAAGGGTTGATATTCTGAAAGGACACACTGTGGATGAGTTTTTAAACTTACTACTTGAAGATTTGTTGTGTGAATGAGTCATTGTTTGACTAACAGCTGGTTCAAAGACCTCAAAGCATGCAGTTCATCTGTTTCGTCCTTGTGATGCAACAAGACATGGGGTTTATATAGAAGGAAAAAGAATCGGTTTTATAACAGAAAGCAATTATGTGGGCTCATTTTTATATTAACTAAATAATTAAATGGGTTTTAATGAGTTTAAATTCTGGTTATTGTATATAAGATGAAAGGGTATTTGGCGTTTATATTTTTTAATTTGTAATTGTTGACTTGACTTTGTTGCACCAGTATATAGGAAACAATACACAAATGCGGATTAACTTCAGTTTCCATCCCAGTCACCAGGAGAAAATGTTGGCATTGTACGTGTCTGCTCACCATGTTACCTTTGCACATTTCAAATGTATTCATATCAACATTTCTAAAGTGAGGTGGTATATGAGGTTTCTTTGTTATCTGGTGGAGTGGATGGGGGATGGCATGACACCTTGGCGGGACACCTGCCAAGCAGCAGACCATTGCAGACCTCTGTTCATATCAAACAAAGCGGCTTTTTAGACACTTCACGTGGGTGTTTTGTAGCGAACCTTGGCTGTTTTTCTGGTGGGGATAGTGCTCCCAAAACTAGGTATTATAAGCCAAAACATGATCTTTTTTTAACCATGGCATGTTTTTGTGCCTTAACTTAAATACATGTTAACCACAGTGTTGTTTAAATGTACATTTTCAATGTATTCATTATATAATAACATACAAATGTAACATCTCTGTGGTTTGCAGAAACGTGTACAACAGCAATATTTTTTTGTGGCGACTGGGTTGCAGTTTCGTGTGATCCTATCGAGCGATCATGTTTAGTTATGTTTTTGTTTCTGCTGTTGTGAAGGAACATTGCCTACTTTGGAGTCAGTTGGATTTGATTTTGACGAAAAAGAACACTGTGTTATAGAGCTACCATGATCCAACCAAAACATAGTCTGCACTATTTTAGGCTCTGATTTGTCTCAAAATACAAAGTGCCATTTCTGCTTTGCCGTGTAATGTGGAAAAATTCTTCATTCTAATCATTCTCATGGCTGAACGAGATCCGGGATGTTTGCCTCAGTGGGTTTATCAGTTGAATCAGTTGGTTTAGTCACGTAACCTCATGTTAATACATTGTGGCCTTTTGTGTGCTTTTTACCACTGTCTGGCCAGTGCAGAGAGTTCATATGTGTTGTGTTTTTTTCACATGGCTTTACATGTGTGCTGTGCAAACAATACAGAAGTTTTGTGGTGAGAAAAGAATCATCCAGATTCAGTGCTTTCACCCTTGACCATTCTTCCTCTCTTTCTCTAATTCTAAGGACTCCTCAGCACTTAAGAAGTCAAAGAAAAAGAAGAAACATAAACACAAAGACAAAGATGTATGTCAAAGCTCAACCAGTAAATGCACAAGTGGCCCATACAGAAATGGCATCAGTGTTTCTCACTTGTGTTCTTTCTTCACAGAGGAACGGCTACGATGATGATTACAGTGTTATATCCAGCAGGGTCAGTAGCTGTGTGTTGAAATGATTGTGCAGACATTTGGTCTGTTTGCAGAATAAGGGAGAGCTTGCAAATCTCTAGACAAACTGTCTCTCATGATCCTTCTCTTTGTCATGCTGTCAGAGCTCAAGACTCAGTGATGAAAGCAGAGTGTCTCGCTCCTCCAGGCTAGACCTAACGGTGCGTTTTGGCCCCCTCTCGTCCTTATTGCTGGATAGCTGTACATAGGCCTGTCACGATAATTACCTAATCGTACAATACGATATATGGACATGACCTTGATAATTATGCTGCGCTTGATATTGCCAGTTGTGTTTACATGCGTGTTTGTTAAGAATGTCACCAACATTTCAGCCAACATGATGCTGGAAGAAACGGCAGGGTTTCTCCATTTTATTCTCTCTACCCCCACCTACTTGCATAAGTCTGAAGAAAAATAAAACACCTTGAAGAGAGCACAGTGTAGTTCACCGGTAGCCTGCAGCTACACATTAACAGTGACAGAGGCACAGTCCTGATAGTTGTTAGCTTGCCAACCCCTGACAATGAGCCAAAAATTCTGTTGTATGTAGTTTTACAACCTTATCCTAGGATAAAATTATGAAGTGATGACATTTTATGCCCAAAAGGTCAAAGGTCAGCTTCAATGTGACATCATTATGTTCTGCAAAAACACTTGCAACACTCAGTGTAGTTTCTCAGGAACAGAAGGGGAGACATTTGGTCAGATACTGAATTGGTGACACTAATCTTGGGTGCCCACCTTGAAGCATTCATGTTTTCACAGACATGGATGTAAACTGTAAGAGAAACTTGACTAGTGCGTGTAGGCATACAATCGCTGGACGGTAATTCTAGTTTAAAAATAAATTACATATTTTGTTCATATTCAAATTCCAATGTCTGAATATTGTTGAGAATTAAAAGGTAATTGCTCTTAGAAATGTTGCACTTGCATTATCATACTATTTTATTGCCATTATATCAATGGCAATGTCTCAAAATGACAATAATATCGTTTATCACAATTATTTCTGGAACAATATAGCGTTCAACAAAAGTAGTTAATGTGACAGGCCTAGCTGTACAGTGACTGTCCTGAACATTATGTAGCTTAACTTTCTGTTTGATGAACCAGAGGCAGTTTTCTTTGTACTGAGCATAAACTGTTGAAACTATAGTGCATGTAATGTACTAACGGAATGGAATTTTGTTTTGAATAACACATTTTGGAGGCAGAAATATTTTAATTGTTTTTAGGCAAATGCAGTAGGTGGAGACTAAAATACAGTGTTTTGGTGTGACCTGGCAACTTTGATTGGTTGTGTGTGGTCAGGTTGAAACAGGACATCACATGTTGCTACTATGCAGGCATGAAAAGCTTCTCATTGATTCAGTAATTTAAAATTAAATCTGAAGGGATGTCTTTGTCTTCGAAATTGACCAGATTTCTTATTTTCAATGTGTGCACTCCATTGGTGAGCAAGAATTAAGTCATGTGGAAAAGTGAATAGGACTTGACTACGGTCGACAGCAATAAACCATAAGTAAAAGCCTACTTGAATTAAAACAACATGAAGAACTTGCAACATTAAACTACAAAGGACAGATTCCCAGGTAAAATGTAGAGCATAAAAGAATAAATGCCAGTAATAACAGCATTTCCATTTATCTTTGTAGTCATTCTTATAGAAGGAAGACAAGAAGCTCTTCAGTATAAATAATGTAACTTTTTTTAATATTTAAAACCTCAGGAGGCTTGTGCTAGTCTTCCATGGCTTAATAACCTGGTTTTACTTCATTATTTCTACCTCTGACATAGTTGTTTAACCACCTTCATGAAGGACATGTGTTTTTTTTAAACCCAGCAGTGATAAGTTTCCAAACTAGAGGCTATGTATCAGTAATACTGTAACAGCATGTGATGTGTCAATAAGTTGAATCTAAGTGATGTTGAAACAGCTGAGTGCTCTCAGGTTTAGTGTTTGAGCTTCTGGTGTTTGATGCTGTCCCCCGTGCTCCCCGACCCTCAGAGTTCCAGACTAAGTGATGACACCCGGGTGTCTCGTGGCTCCAGATTAGACCTGCAGCCGGTGGGTGACACTGCACTGGAGACTGTTTTTTCTCATACTACTAATGGCCTTTGGTGTACTTTCTCTTATTGTCTAGAGTTTTGTTCATTAACAAAATGAGTTGAGTGATATCAGCATCTTACCATCTGTCTTGTGTTGTGCTGTCCTGTACTAAAGAATACACGTAGGTGCATGTATTTATGCTGTATTGGATTTCTACACGACTTCCTCATTGTTGTGGAGTCTCTGTTCTGTATTTCCCACAGTGGAGTCAGTACTGTGATATGTTTTAAAATTGTTTTAGTGTTGAGCTCTGGGTCGCAACTATCTTTTCTCTGTCAGTTCAGCTATTTAGCAAGCATGCTGTTTGGCTGTCTGTTCTGTGGATTAAAAACAAGCGACACTCACTGTCTGACCTCCAGAGTTGTATGTATGCACACTGTTAGACAATTCCTGGGAATAACCCGATAAAATGGAAACTTTGCTGTTTTTCAACTTTTCCCACATTTTTATGTCTGAGTGACTAAAGGAGAAAACAGTTTTTTTTTTAATTATTCCAGGACTGAGAGAGACTGCAATGTAATCCCTAGGGGCAATTGGGCACCCTCAATTTACGTCTATTAAATGTTCTTATTTTTGCCACTGACAGGCTCAGATTGGTATTAGAAATGTCTGATAACAACCTTCGGCTGGTCTATTTGTTATTGTGACCAAGTCTAACTGTGACTTGTTGCAGGAAAAACAACCGTGAAAACGTTAGTAAGAGTTGGAGAGAGGAGTGCTAGGAAGGGTTTGTGTTGGAGGTAGGGGTGGGTGATATGGCCCTAAAGTAATGTCATGATATTTCAGGGTATTTTTGCGATAAAGATATGCTTGATGATATGACAAATTATTATTTTTTAATTATTATTAATTTAAGAACATAGAATTGCAACAAAATATGTGATATAGTTTTACATGTCAACTTGATAGTGTGCCTTCAAATATTTAGTAAAAACTAAACAAAAATGATCTCTCATTTCTTTAGTTTGTAAACAACAACAATAACTCAGAGTGGGCTTCAGATTCTGTAGACAATAGTTCAACAAAATAAAATCTACCACAAATTACATATTAAAACAGTTCCCAAATACAGAAAATGTACTCTGGAATATATATATGCACATTAATCAAAAGTAATTTCCTTCTCTTTTAGCAAAATCCTAAATGATTGAGTTGTTGTTGTTGCTGTAACCTGTGACAGGTTGTCATGCTATCAAAACTATCGCACATTCACAGATATGTAGTTTTTTGTCGAGCCGCAAGCGTCACATAGGTTTACAAAATTATAACGAAGTCATGACAGCGCACAATAGAGTCTGAGAAGTCCGGTGCTGTTCAGAAAACATTCAGGACGCTAACAGTATGATGTCAATATGTCAACAAGTCAAAATATCGCAGGTATCGCAATATGAATTTTTCATATAGTATTAAAAGTTATCCCAGTATTATCATGAATGAGATGATATGGCACACACCCAGCTAGGATACAAAAAAGCGTAGGGTAATGTTATCTAAAAGATTTTCAATTTCATGGCTGATATTTTAGCTGATTTCAACAAGTTAAAAGGCCGCTAGATTTCAGAGCAAGACTTGGTTACAAACATTAAAAAACAGACCAGATCAGTGAAAGGTAAATGGTTCATGTTTCTGTAGGGTATTATCTGTAATGTTGTCAGACACTTCTAATAATAATCTGAACCTGACAGTGGCAAAAACAAGCACCTTTAGTGGACATAAATTCACAGTAAACAACAGTACACAATTGCCCGCACAGGATTACTTTGCAGCCCGTTTCGTAGCTGTAGCCACAGCAGTGTCTTTCAACACGAGACCAATTTCAAAAAATGTCTCCATTACTGAATTAGACACAAAAACAGAAGAAAATAGGTTACAGGTTGAAAAATGCATACATTTTCCTTTAAAACCACTAAATGTAAATGCCTGGCTATAGGTTAAAGTGGTAGTTTATTGGTTTGTGCATGTGTGTTTTGGGTTTGTCATTTACATGACATCTATACAGTGTTGCTCTTCACTTGCTGCTGTGTACTTGCATAGTATGGATACATTGCTAACAGGTGCCAGTCACCCTTTAGGTAAGGAGTTGGACGACTTTTTAAAAACAATGTCTCTGAACTTCCTGTCCTTTGTTTCCTCGTTCCCATCTCCCTCTTTGTCTTGGCTTGTAACTCCCTCTCATTCCTCCCCTTTCCTCATTTCAGGCTGCTTATGCTTCTTCTGACTTGTACAGCTTTAATGGTCTCCCCTCCTCCAGAAACCCAGGTTCAGCTTTCAATGGTTACCAGGTCTGTACACAGACGAATACTAGACAGACACATACTGTAAACACTTGCAGGAAAAAACAAAAAGATTTGTCGCTGTTATGCAGCTGCATCGAACCTCTGGCTCTCTGTGGAGGGGGACAAGAGAAAAAAGAATTTTTCTACAAGAATAAATCAATTTATTTTCACAAACTGTTCCAAGCTGCTGCCTTCTAAAGCTCATTTTTACCCCTGATTTCATTCTGTGTTGCAGTTCTGCAGGTCACTCAGTCAGATCACCCCGCAGCTCTATCGTAGGGTTGGTCCATTGGTTTCCAGCTGAACTTTTAGCCACTTTAACTTCCACGCTGTTTTACATAACACCTGCAATTATTATTCACTCATACCAGCATTGTAAAGAACACCTGAAACTGAGCTTGTTTGTCTTCAGAGCAAATTATTTGATGATTAAGTCGAGGGCTTCCACTGAAATGCTTGATCACTTTTCTAAACTCACTGAGCATTGACTTCAATCTCTGTACATTTCAGTTCTGAATGGAGCCACGTATCAGGCACTAAATGCAAAGCAGGCTTTAGAAAAGCATGTAATAACACCAAAGAAACATCATTGTTCACACTGCTGGGTCATGAGCGTACTACTTACACTGTATGTGTCTGTGTGACATGTCATATTGTGCAGAGCTCCTTATATGAAGACAGTCTCTGCAGTGGGTCACGGCGAGTCACTGGCTCCAGCTCTCATGTAAGATTTTCTTAAAATCGTGGCGTTGTTGGTTTGACACACCTGACAGTGACATGATTAAAAGTGAGAAGTGGTTTGTGTTCCCGGCTTTATAATATTAACAGTCAAAAGAAGAGTGCATATAATTCAGCATGAATGTGACATAATGGAATAGGCCATGCATGAAGGTTGCTTTAGTTTTGTTTTCACAGCGAGACCTTCACTGTATTTTGAGTGATTTGTTTACTGCTGCATGGGAGCTGTTTTGGACTTTAATGTCATTGGATGAAAATTTTCAGTATGACTTCAGTGAGTTGTTAAAATGGGATTTTGATGTACATTTTGCATTAAGATGACTGTAATATAGGCATCAGTCCTCTCCAGGATGTGTTGTATGTGCATGCTTATTTGCAGACAGAAACATAAAGTTGTGTTTTCTCTGCAGCCTTTAGAGTACACTAGTTATCGCAGCTCCGGCTCCAGAGCCTCCTCCAGGGCCAGTTCGGCCCGTGCCAGCCCAGTGGTGAGCCTTCACTCCCCAGACACCCTGCTACCAACACCATGGTTTAAATTGACTCAGCCCACTTGTAAATGTTGCTTTGTAAACACACAAGTCTATGACTGAATCTCCACTGTTTGAGAATTTGGAGACATAATTAGACTGTGTTCATCCTGTATATTACGGTGACTCAGACTTGGCATGATTTGCAGAATTTGTAAAAGTGCAAACATTGTTTGTTCTGTGTGCAGAGAACATGCAGGTATTTCCTGGTGGACCTGTACATAGCATAATCTTTACATGATGTTAATAGTTTGTTTGTAATGTTAGTGAGCCATGTGTCAGAGCTCAGAGAGGCACTGAACTCCCTGCTAGTCACTCAGGTTAAGAAAATCACATGAATGCCTGAAATATAACAATGAAATGCCAGTCTGCTGAGTGTGTGGTAGTGTTGTCATGATACCAAAATCTTTGTTTCGGTACCAATACCAATATGAATTTCGATACTTTTCGATACTCTTCGGTACTTTTCCTAAGGAAAGGTCCTTTTGGATACAAACCTTTAGAACAATAAATAGTAGGGGTGTAACGGTACCAAAAAAATCATGATTCGGTAAGTACCTCGGTACGGACGTCACGGTTTGGTAACTCAAATGTCCCACCAAGTTTGTGTTGTCTTGTATTGTCTCCCTTTGCGAGGCAGTCTTTCTCTTGTCTTTTTTCACATGCGCCAGCTGCGAATGTTGATAGAGGTGTTGTCATACACACCACTTGTGCAATGTGTGCTCCAATAGGAACAAGAAAGGTGTTTGTGTGCATAATTGAGTAAAATAAATTAACTAAATTAATGATTTGAATCAATTTCAAAGTACCGGTATTTTCCAAATGCAGTATAGTACCGTTTGGAATACTCTAGTACCGCAGTACTATTTTAGTACCGGTATACCGTGCAACACTAGTGTGTCATCAGTCCACTTCACTGGAGCCATCTGTCACAAGCCCGTAGCAACACAGAGTTTCAGCAGAGGTTGGCAATCCCAAAAAAACACTGTTTAAAAATATTCTTTTTGGATTTAGATGTCCATTGATTAATTGGTTACCAGCTGAAGAACCAGTCTGCTACATCAGAATACATACACAAATCTTGTAATTTTAACTTTGGAATCACCATGACTAATAAACATCATACATTATCTGCTCCTCATATATTCTTTTGGGGACAGCATGTAATGATATAAATGGCTTATGATGGGAAAGATGGAACCTGAGGTAACTTAATTAGATGTTCTTTCAGTCTTTTTAAGCACTCATGATGATTTGAAAACAGTTATTTCCTGTCAGTGTTGACATGCCCTGTTTGGCTTCTTTGTTGTTTTATTTCACCCCCTCGTGGTGAATGTAGGACAACTGTGGCTCTGTTGCCAGTTTTTTGAGGAGTGCAGCCAGCAGCAGTGGCCTCCCCCGAGATCTGGACGATGTTACTATTCCTGACTTTTCTGACGTGAGTCGCTTTGCACCCGCAGGAGGCCACGGCTGTGATGTGAGCTGAGTTCCTGCTTGGTTATTTTTTGTTTGTGTTTTTTGTGCCCCCCGTCCTTCCTTTTTGTGCACTTCAGCCTACAAGAAGGGCTGATTATACACTGTGTTTGTGTCAGAGGTTAATCTGTGTGTTGACTGCGGAGACTAACAGTTTTTCTTGTGGCAGGATTGTTTTTGTGTGTGTGGCAGAGAACTAAAAAACTAAAGATGGTCTGTTGTTTGAAGTGTTTTTTTAACACGTGATCTGTGTTTGAATGGAACACCGTGTCAGACTCATTTTTGGCCTGACGTGTTTATTTTAATTTCTGAAGGAGTTTGACTCCTTGCAAAGTACTTATTTGCATGGTTTTGTATATCAATATAAAGTTGTGCCTTTTCTAGATATGCTTGAGCAGAAATTAGATCAGAATACTTTGAGTTATAGTTTGGTCCACTGCTTTTTTTGTTTGAAGATTTTAAGGTAAATGTCATCACTGCTGAGCAGCCTGTAGTGGATTTTCTTTCTGCATCCCTCAGTTGGTCTTCTTGGCCCTGCGCCTCCACATCACCCTCTGTTTGCTCTAACTGTATTTTATTTGTCTCAACAGGTGGAGGACAGAGATTATCTGGAGAAGGTAAGTGAATCACATCACCAAATGCTGTTCACTCAAATCCATAAAGTGACCTCAGTTTATGAAAAATAATGAGCATGTGTGTTGTAACATGTTGGACATTATATTGTCCTTCATACTTAATTGTGAGCTAAAAAAAAGTGCTGAAAACATTTTTGAAAAATAATGTTTGCCTTCCTCAGGGATCTCGATCAGCTTCTGCCTTAACAGCAGCAACCCTCACCTCTTTAGGCGGGACTTCTTCACGGAGAGGAAGTGGGGAGACAGCTCTGACTGTAGATGCAGAAACCTCTGTGCGAGAAATCAAGGTATTGCTGAAGTGATGTAGCTTCCTACAGACAGAGAGGATATTTCCTTGTGGACTGTGGTTTAAGTGAGGTGCCATACCAACCTGTTCTCATCCCTAGGGCGTCAAAGTATGCAGCTAGATCAGTGGCTGTCGGCATGTGATACCGACGCACAAGGCACCCTCTTAGTGTCAGTCTGAGACACTCTGGGATTTCGGTTAACTGTATTGTAAACTCATCCACAGCAGTGACATAGTATAAAGAGCAAAAAAAATCCCTGTAAGGTGGGAGTGGCTGGAGGTAAATGGGTCAAACATGTACAGGTGTCCCACGTGAAACTAAAAGTCAACACTGAGATTCTTTGAGCTACATTACAAAGTTACCAACACAGGACATGTGTCACATCACATACACCATAAACGTCACATGACATACTTATTAACTTACTCGTGTAGTAAAGTTACATAATAAACGTACTTATTTTAACCCAAACCATGATCTTTTTTCTAAACCTAACCAGGCAACAAATGTTGCCTTAGTCTAATTTAGTTTTGGTGGCATAACCTACATTTCCTGTGAACATGGAGGTTTAGGGACACTGTTTCATTTAATGAGTGGAAATTAGCCCTTTTTACACAGAAATCACACTCTAGTGCTGCATGAAGTTCTTTTTTCATGCTGTCTTTGCATATTTAAACAGGACCAAACAACGGTGGCATCATGCCGCTCCAGTGTGTGATCTTAGACAGCATGCCAGCATTATGGAAGCAAAAGAGGTGTGTGTCGGCAGTACTTTCTAAACAGTAACAATGACATAAAATGGCAATAACAATCATTTACTGTGTCTGTTATATGGCGGTTGATCTCGTCCTCTGCTCAGAGTATGAGGAGCTCAAGAATCTCGCTGTTTTCCCAATTTGCGGACACTTTCAGCTGCTGTTCTTCTTCTTTGAGTTAGCTGCTAACTGCTTTCAGCTACTACTGAGCGTCCAAAACTGACGCTAGAGGGATACCAAGAGCGTCATGGTTTGAAACTTGATGAGTTGGGAATGAAGAGTGTTTATTAGATAATTTTGATAAAATCATCATGAAAATTAGAATTAATATAAACAATCAAAAAAGGAGTTTGTGCCAGATGTTGCTTATAAGTGTAAATCCCATATCAAGCGTGTATTCTATATGGAACAATTACTTGAAAATGGGACGTGGTTGCAAACAATTGTCAGTCATTAAGATCAGAGTTTCAGCTTTAACAAGAATTATTCTTTAATTAACTGACCAAAACTGGTTGCCTATTTAACCATAATTATTGCCCCATGGAGAATTTACAACATTTAGAAAATTTAGACATGTATTGATTATAGAAGAGTTCCTGCTGTATTCTATCAAAGCAGAAACTTCTGTTTAGAGTCAAACTTAAGTACTCATACAGTGACAAATTCAACATAGAAGAGGCAGAGTCGTTTCTCTACCCAGGAAAGGTGTATTTGCAATAGACAGACTTAGGGAATTGACAGCTTTGATCTCAACAGTGGTCTTCTATGAAGTTTTGTGCTGCCATACTATTTTCAATCTTTCTGCAAACACCTGTGCTGCTGCTCTCATCATGACCAAACTCTCTGCGTCACCTTTTCTGATGCTGTCACACTGTGCTTCTCTGCTCACTGCTGCTGCCAGGAGATTCATGAACTGAAGGATCAGATTCAAGATGTGGAAACCAAGTACATGCAGAACCTAAAAGAAGTGAAGGTATAAGCCTGAGAGCCCCAGAGCTACCACCCACAGACTCACTATTAACTAATATGTTTGGTGTTTTCTAATTTCCTCTGGTTATTTTAGACTTGGTACCACTACAGCGGGTCAGATATGCAGTAATATGTGCAACCAGTTCTCTGCTGAATTACCCAAAGGCCACAGTGGATAGTTGAGATTATCTAGGTGTTTTTGGACCAAACAGTTCTGGGCAGCTTCCCCAAGTACTACATACCTTTAAGGGCATTTTTTTCTGTTTGCATTCACGCTACCAAAAGGAATGCCAAAGTGACGTACTGTTAGCTGGTCAACAGTTAATATCATACTGTCACTTTCACTTTAACAAGTCAAAATCAGGTGTTTTCACTGTCGCATATATGCTCAATAAAGTCTGGACTTCACTGTTGGTCCATTTGTCCGTCTTTTCTTCCATTTCTTGTTTTTTTGAGCTATTGTTTGTGTTTTCTGTTGTCTGTTGTTTACATGGCAAACAGGTTTTTAATAATGGCAGTTTCCGGTGCTGCACTAGCTGTTTTTGACCAATTATTGTTCACTTCGTCACTCATGGTTCCTCTTGTGCCGACAGAGTATGTATTCTGACACAGCTAAAACAAAGTTCCTCAAAACCTCATCTTCAGAACTATGATCCTTCCTACTTTTTGTGGTGCGGACACAGTTAAAAGGGTGTTCTTAGAACTATGTTCCTAGAGCTATGAAAAAGTTCCTCTGGTCTGAAAATGCCTCATGTTATAAGAGCTTTTCCTCTATAGATCAGTTATGGAATATTCTAGGAGTAATACTGGTGCTCCAGACTCATTGTAAATATTGACACACATAGACAGTAGTATAACTGCAGTCCTTTGTGAGGCCCATTACTGTATATTGCATTATTTCTCATTTATCTTCCCCTGAGCAGATGTTTTCTAACTTGTGTATAAACTTGCTAACTGTTGATCTAACTTGCAAAGTTGCATGTTGCATGTAACTTTCTTCATTTTGCTGTGTGTGTATTAGCCTGCACTCCTTAAATTTCCTCTTACCATGGTTGACAGTTGTGACATACAGATAAGTGTACTAACGTCTATACAGTATACACTCTTGCATTGTCTGGATTCTCTGCCAGCTGCATCCATCTGTTCCTCCAAAAATGAAGCTTGCCCATTCACATTGATAGAGGATAGTGTGACTCTGCAGTTTTGTTTAAGGTCATGTTACACGTGAGCCCGCATCTGTTATATTCTTACATTCTCTATGTGTCATGACATTAGGATGCATTAGTAGAAGTGGAGGAGAAGTATCGTAAGGCCATGGTGTCCAACGCCCAGCTGGATAATGAGAAAAACAACCTGATGTACCAGGTGGACACACTCAAGGACTCGCTCATGGAGCTGGAGGAACTGCTGTCTGAGTCACGCCGGGAATATGAGGAGAAAGTCAAGGTACAGCAGGCAGACACACTGATAGAATGTTGAAGACTTAAGCCACGTATTATTTGTTTTACCTTGCTCTTTGCCTGCATGAGGTTTTGCAGTCATGTATGCACTGAAGATAGTTTTCACAACATCTCAATGGTCTTACCAGAGGACGCCTTCACCCTGCAGGGGCCTACAACATGATGGTCTGCCTTCCTCAAATCCATTGCAATGAAATGAAACAATGTTGGGCAGACTACTTGGAAAACGTAGTTAGCCAAGCTGCTCTACATCAGCATAAATTTCACGACACTGAAGCTATCCCCAGAGAAATGTAGCAAGCTAAGCTACCAGAAAATGGCAAAAGTATCTTGCTACTTGGAAAGCTACTTCTGTTTTTTTCTTTACTTAATGCAAAATCAGTGTAATCTCAGGGATAAGAAAAACTGTCAGCCAAACAGGCAGGCAGAAAATGTTCAGTTAAAATATTTCTTCTTTTCTCTCTCTCTCTTTTTTTTGAGTGTTATTTTGTTGTAAGTACACCAAAGTAGAACCCAGTCAAGTTTTAGTTGACTCAGTTAATATGCAGTTTATGTTTTGTTTTGACTCTAAAACTACAACAAATGCAGTTAAACAGCATGATATTGGTACTCAAGGACATACAGTATATGTGTTATATA